AATAATCTTTATTTGTATAGCACTTTTAAAAACAATGTTTACAAAGCGCTGCACAGTCAGCATGATAAACAATAAAACGCAACGTCAAAATAATTACATACAAAAGATACAGGAAAACAAAGCAGACAGAGCAAAACACAAGAAGAGAGACACAACAAAGACAAAGCAGACTTTAAAACACAGTTAAAAGCTGTTTTATAAAAGTTTTAAGAAGGGATTTAAAAGAGGATACTGATGGTGCGAGCCTTATCTCCTCGGGCAGGTCGTTCCAAAGCCGAGGAGCCCGGACAGACAAGGCTCAGTCACCTTTCGTCCGGAGCCTCGACCTTGGAACGGATCCAGGGACCTGCCCGAGGATCTAAGGCTGCGGGGGGGGCTCTTAGGGGTTTAAAAGTTCATAAATATAACTGGGTGCCAGACCTAAACGAGTTTTAAAAGTAATCAGTAAAATCTTAAAATCAATTCTAAAACGCACAGGGAGCCAGTGGAGGGATGCAAAGACAGGGGTGATGTGCTCTCTTGAGCCAGTGAGAAGCTGCTGCGTTCTGAACCAGTTGGAGGCGGGAGAGGGATTTACATGTAGCGTCGAGACCGGACAGGAGGGGCAGTAATCGAGGCGGGAGAAGATGAGGGCGTTAACTACTTTATGGAGATCGGGAGAAGTGAGAATGTTTTTAATCTTAGAGATGGTGCGGAGATGATTGAAGCAGGATTGGGTGGTTTTTTTGATGTGGGAGTGGAAGGTGAGGTGAGAATCAAAAATGACACAGAGGTTACGGGCGGAGGGAGTGATTTTTGAAGACAGGGGGCCAAGGTGGGTTTGGATGTGGGATATTGATGGAGGCGGGTTGATGAGGAGGACTTCTGATTTGGAGGTGTTGAGTTGAGGGAAGTTATGGGCCATCCAACTGTGCACATCATTAAAACAGTCGACCACAGCAGCCAGACTTCCAGGGTCGTTTGGTCTCAGCGGGAGGTATATCTGTGTGTCGTCCGCAGTGGAAGGACACGTTATGACGGGCCATAACGTGTCCTAGGGGGTGCATATACAGTAAATAGAAAATAAAATGGGACCAAAAATAGAACCTTGCGGCACACCACAGGTAATGGGGGCTGTAGAGGAGGCAAAATTACCCATGGTGACCGCAAAGGTTCTGTCTAAAAGATAAGAATGAAACCAACCAAGTGCAGTATCTTTGATGCCCACCCACGTTTTGAGGCGATCCAATAAAATCTAAAAATCTAAAAGCGTAGGTCCTTGTTGAAACAAATCTCTCTATGTGAAAATTGTTTCCAGCTGACTTAATATCAAACCAGCATACTCATTCAGCATTCAGCAAACACTATGGGTGACTTCATCCACTCCTAATATACGGTCTATGATTTCACTTTACTCTAATCATACTGGTTAGGACTGTCTGTGAATCCGAATGTGTGTAGCATCTGCAAGAGCCTCCACTTTCACATCCATCACAGCTGAGGAAAAATGTGGTGACAAAATCTCACTATTTAGAGTGATGTTTCCCGTTCGAACGTCTCCCTCTGAGGCTGCTGTGTCACGGATGACAGATTTCACACACTCTGGAATACAAGGGCCAGCAACATAACTAATTCCTCTCCTTTTTACCATCACTAAAAGCCGTTCAGTGAAAGTAAAAAAAACAGAACACTAAATTCTGCTGTAGGTCAGTTGAGATTGATATGAGGAGGAAGGTTATGACCCCAGGCAGCTTGTAAAGGTAAAGCAAAGCAATGTATTTCAACAAGAGGAGGCAAGATTCACTTGAGGTGCACTTTCCAGTGGGCAACATGATGGATTTCATGTCTAGATACAATTGAATAGTGTTTGAACAGAATGTTTTCAATTATGTACAAGCAATGTACAGTATATGGACAATTAGTGACAATATGGGGTATGATTACATGAGTCCTGTGCTCATGCATGTACACTGGTTTTCAGTTGCAACTTTGCAAGTAGGGCTGGGCGATATGGCAAAAAAGTAAAATCTTGATTTTATTTCCTGCTTTGGACGATTTCAATTTTAAATTGATTTTCATTAAAGTCACCAAAGATAGACTTTGCCCTTAAAAATATTTTGGATCTTTCCGCTCAATATTCAAGTTTTAAAACTATTTTTAAATTGTTTCCCCCAATACGTATTGTAAAAGTCTTGTACGGACTGTGCTGATATTGCAAGTATGATTCATGTGCTGCTGGAACTCTCACAGTATCCTTAATTCCTTTTCACAATTTTCACATTTTTCACAAATTCGACTTTATCAAAAGCCGAATAAATGCCTGAATTTGATTTATTGCCCAGCCCTATTTGCAAGTCTCTCCATGGCCTCACACCAAAGTACATCTGTGACATACAGTATTAGGTTAAAATCAGTTCTGTTTAGCTGTGCAACAACTGAAGGATTGCACCTTTGAGTTACCATGTGTATGAACTGTGCAATACAAATAAACTTGCCTTGTTTTGCTAAAACTAACAAAAGATCAGATGTGCTTTACTGTGCCTGTTCTTCTTCAGTTCAATGGGAATTAAGATCTCTAAGGGTTTAAGTGAAGTAAGCTCACCTCACCACGATTAATTGGCATTTTATTATTCTTTTGACGATTAGTTGTTTAGATCCTACACGTCAGTGAATATGGGACTTTTTATACATTTGACCATAACAAAGTTTAAGTGATGCACCTGGAGGGTATCTTCATAGCGATGACTTTTTACGTATTGAGTTGTTTGAATAACAATACATGGTAAACCCATTTCATTTCATTCTGCAGTGATTGTAGAATCATTTTAATCATAAACCCCTTCTCAGTATGTTTATGGCTATGTAAAGTTCAAAAAGTAATTTATCAATTACTAAATTAGTTGAAAACTATTTCAATAATGGGGCGACAGTAGCTCAGTTGGGGCGACAGTAGCTCAGTTGGTAGAGCACTGGTCTTTGGACCTAATGGTCGTCCCCATGTCATCTGCTCCCACTGATGTCTGCTGTCGTTGTGTCCCTGGGCAAGACATTTAACCCCACATTGACTAAAGCCTCACCACCTGCAGGAGGATCAGTGAGGGACTGGTGCATTGAGACTTGGGTGGCAGCTCTGATTGTCACCCTCCCGACCCATAAATTGAATCATAAAGGGGTAGAAAATGACATGACAAATGACATGACATGACATATTTCAATAATCAATTAGTTGTGGTTAATAAATTAGCTTACAGCCCTACTCTCCACTGATCTAAATTTGCATAGAGATAAAAGTTAATCATTTAACTTGTATCATTATTTTGTGTAACGTATAATGCATCATTATTATGTACAGATACATCATTACTATGTATAGATGCCAATAATGTGCCAAAGGTTGGGATAAGATCACGAAGGAATCTTAACCAATATAATAATAACCAAGTAATTTAATGATCATGATTACCTAAATGAGCATCTTGCAAATGGCCAGGCGCACAAATGTGTTGAAAACTGTGGCAGAATTGAAACATTGTGGAAGTATGTTGTCCAGTTCCACCATTTTCCATCATTTTCCTCCCTCTTTGTTGCATTGAAACAAAACAGGCGTATTTGGAGTCTACATTTGTCCACATTTTCTGGATTAATACAACAATTTGACTTTAATGGACTCTAATGGATCTAATAAAAAGGACAATTTTACCGTTCTGGCTGTGGTCAGTCTGTCCCTGCTACTTGCTTAATCCTAGTGAATATAATGCATGTAAATTCAGATATCATTCAATCTAACCCAATGATAGATGTGCTAATAATTTCTGTTGCTGCACCTGCTTTCACTGTCTCCTGCTTTGATGTGAGGTATTTTCTCGTCTCTTTTTGCAGCCTGGAGATCATTACCGGGCTCTGAAACGCAGGATGGATGAATGTGTGAGACGGTGCACAGAAGGAAGCCTGTTTTTTCAGAGCTGATAGATCATTGTGGGTGTTAGTAAGATCAAAAGAAAACATTAGCAGCAGGTGGAAGTTGCAAGTGGCGGATAATGGCCAAAAATCTAAGGTTACCTCAACCTGCCCATGGACCACAGCTGCAAAAGAGCATTTCTGACCACAGCTGCAAAAGAGCATTTCCCGCTATAGCCTTGTACAAATATTTGACAAGTACATATATTTGTATTACGTACACTCAAGCACAAAAGCACGGCTTTTGTGCTTGCGTGTACGTAATTGTGCGATAAAAAAATCCAACATTGAAACAGGTTCACTGTTATTAACGAGTTTAACAGACAGCACTCATTTTCATTTATTTAGTATAAATTAAATTAGATCATCATCTGTGATTGAATAACATTGATTAACAAGTTTATATGGTATTTAATTTGTGCAAACATTTTTTTTCTTTTTACACATGTCATGCATGAGTTCTGACTTCAAAAATCCAATACCCAATCGAATCAGCATTAATCAACAATTATTTCTGAAAGTTGCTCAAGAAACTCAATTGAATGTGCATGTTTCCATAGTGATTCTTTCCCAGAAGCATTTGTAAGTCTTTCCTTTGTTTCGACAATTGCCCTGGTCACACATTTTCCATATGTTTAAAAAGCAATTATGTTTAGTTTTTTCTCTGCAGCATTCATAAATATTCATAGAAATTAATAAGAGCCTGCCAGCAATGGACTTCAGTGATAATCAAAAGGGCAGGTCAGAGTATTAGCGGCAAGATTAGGCATTTGTTGGTACATTGTATGCCATTTTGTGAGAACATTATCATGGAGAATAGATGTTTTCGATCTCCCACTAAAAACAATTTTTAGACAACACAGTGCACCTTTAGGTTTTTGTAAACATGAACGAATGTCCTTATCAATAAAACATTACTTGAAATATTGCATGCTCATTTTTTATCTTGTTTTAGTGTTTGTGGACAAAGCCATTCTAAATCTGAAATTCAAGATTTTTTCCGTTTTATACAATTTAGTTGAGGCATTTGTCACCTCCCATCATAACCCTATTCTCTTCTGAGTCTAAAGCTCTGTGAGCAGCTCTGCATCCTCTGTCCACATGACCCCACCCCCCTCTCTCTGAACATCCACAGCTCTTCACAGGAACAATCTGTCCCACTAATGTGAGGTCGCAGCACGCCATTTTTCCACTTATCAGCCCGCTGGATTTCAATACAGCCCCTATCACCCGCACACTGTTGCCTGGGAACACAATAGACCACATCAATGAGATGATTCACGCCCCTTTTTAGATCTGGGTTGCTTGGCTTTCACTGATGCTAGCAAATATATTTGATTCAATGCAATGTTTTCATGTTTGATATTTGCCTGAGTTTTTCCTGGTTTCATTTGTTGGCATTTAGAGGAAGTGTACCCGTGACCTTGGAGACTGGGTGCGTTTTATGTAACAACAGCCCCCACTGTTCAGGCTTTACCCCGGCTCAAGTGATACAAGATTAATGTCTATTCTTATACTAGAACGGCGAATAGCAGACGATTTATAGACACCAAGGGTTCAGTGTGAGAAGGTTATAGATCAATGTAAAGATGATTACAAAAGAGTTCATTTGAACTGATTTGTTTCCATGATTAGCTGCCATAAGGCTGAATGACAGATCCTAATGATAATAGCTTTTCTTGGAATATTTTACACTATGGCATCAGATTTGTGTCTATAGAGACCACGTGGTGCCTCTAGATCAAGGTGCAGAGCAGATCTGTGGAGAAATAAGCCCCCTCTCAGTATGAACACATGCAAATTGTTAAAAGCTGTAAAATCACCATGATGAAATATACACCATGTTTACAGCTAACACCTGCATAGCTCTCATAGAGCGGGATAGACAGGTTGCTCATCTTGTCACTTTGAATCCAAACTCTTTTCCAGTAGTTGTGTGTTGATGCTGTTTACTGTTTATTGATAGAATCCCCATTGCCACAGTCATGCTGTTGCTATTCTTCCTGGGGTCCAAAGACTGTGTATTGATCTACTGTACCTACAGTAGGGTGTTACTGACTTTGGGAATGGCTGAGTGGAATTATTAAAAAAGTAGATAAAAATATAGCCCTAATTTGAATCCAGTTAAGTCCTAATATTATTGGTTTGGTGCATGTGCAAGAATGATTAGAACTAGATTGTGAATGATTGATCCAAAATCAAGTTGTGTACTGTTATGAGCCCATGGCTGTAACAGGACAGGTCGCCATTTAAGAATTTCTGAAAATTTAAGGTTGACTTTTTTTTATTTAATTTGCCATCTTTAAACTTCATGTATTCCTGTTAAAACAAATACAAAACACTAAGACAGCTCATTCACATCCTCCTCCTTACGTGGTTGTTGCTCCTTTGCATGTTGCCTGTTTGATGTGCTGTGAATGAATACATTTGCACGGCTCTGTCAAAGAAATGAGACGCGGTAGAATTCATATTAGCATGAGAAGATGATCAGTGGAGCGGTTCCAATATGAGCTGCATCCTGGTTTTCTGCCCAGAAACACAAGGGTGAATGGCAACATGGCACGGTGCCCGCTTTGAAGGCAATGGGATGCCCTTTAGCTGTTACTATAGGAAATGATGATGTGGCCATGGGAACGGAAACAGATGTTTGATCACGGGATCAGATGTTTTTGAGTGTACATATTCAAGATATGGGGCTAATGTGTGAAGTAGGAATTTCCAAACATAAATATTGAAGCTAGAGTAATATTTAGAGTACATATATTGTTTAATACATGTTTGTTTGTCCACACAGAAAGAGTCAGATCAGACAGCAACATCCTCATGACCTGTGATTAGACCCCTGAGTCACAATTGGATGCTTCGGGCTGACTGAGAGCCACATCTGTGAAGTTCAATAGAATTTCAGCTTTGCTTCTGTATTTTGACTGAAACAAGAGATATTATACTAGCTTGAAAGTGCATAAATCGAGCTTTTACATGATCAATATCTGCAGATAAATGAGAAACATACTAAACATTTAAAAAAGTATGTTTGTCTACCTCTAAACACTAATAAAGAATAACAAAAATAAGGTTATACTATATATTATCATAGAGATCCCTAGAAATAGTAGAGGACAGTACAATTGAAATTCAAAACCCAGTGACATTTATTAATATCACCCAGCAAAGATTACTCAGGGGTCTATTCACTATTAAAGACCCAACCAGCATAACTTCTCTTCCTCCTGCTTCCTTTCTGTTTCATGGCAATAAACCAAATTGAGAATAAATCAGGTCAAAATTAAGATACGTTTTTTTAGGTAAAATACTGCCTAGAAATACCACAGATTATATATATTAATACGGGGGAGTTGTGTCTGTAGAGAAACAAAATACTACATCATGACATTATTTTGAAGAAATTGTCCTCATTTTTCTTTACACCTACTTTTGAATACTAAAATGGTATTGAAACCATTTGTGCGAACTCTGAGCTCCATTCACTCCTATACTGCATAGCTCCAGCAGACATAGCAGAGGAAAGGTGGCCATGTTGTTGATTTGACGTTGATCTAATGTGACAGGTGCATTAGACATTATAAACAAAGCACTCTATATGCAGTGTCTTCCACTCCTGATATGTTCATAATGACATGCTTTGCTCAGTACAGACATGCTTGTTTCATGTTATAACTCATTCTCTGTAAGGTGCATTTTGACATGTGCATTTACCACAGGATTTTCATATATTCTGGACTATGTACCCTCTTACACAGTGGAATAGCTGTATATTGTGCTAGACATGAAAGTAGAACACTGAACTGTGTTATAAATATTTCACTTCTTAATTCAGCCTTTAGCCTTTTATGACAGGGCAGTCAAAACTTTCCTATCCACTCGCACCTCATCCAGCTAATCCCAGGCCAGCTGCAAAATATAGTGGGTCCTGGGTCTTCCCCCATACCAGCACCGCGAGCTCCAGGGGCTACCACCAATCCAGACTACCACAATAACCTCTTTTGGATTTCTATTTGGATGATAGGGAAAAATTATGACTTGATCATTGATCAATGTCAATGTTAAATAATTTTTTCAGCTTGAAATAAAGAAAAACTTGACAATTCACAGAGTTTGTATTTTTCTAAGTGAAGTAAAAATACTCAATATAAACTATCAAGATAAGTGGCAATGCAATAAATAATTAACATTTGCATAAAATAGAAATCAGTGTGGTGCTTTTTCTGAAATCTATTAAACCTTTCTTCATAGAGCAGAGCTTCAGGAACAACAAAGTTTAATTTCACATTGATAGCACAAACAGTCCAGAAGAAATCCATATGAAAAGGCTGCAGTAACATGATTGTGGAAATATGAAGCCTTATTACATGTGCAAGGAAGCACAAGCGATGTCCAGGCGCTTCAATAGGACTCATGATTCACTCGTAAACTGTGAGAAAACTTCACAAAACATAAATGAAAGGGCAGCCACTAGAGCAGAGACACGGAGGAGATGAAAGGGGAGCAGGTGAAAAACAAAGCATCTATAGTGTGTTAATATACAATTCTAAGCACCAAGACACCAATAGCCTTATCAATCAAAACAAGCACATCTGGGAGACTGCAAGACCATTTTGTGAGACATATGAAAAGCCTTTGTGCACATGTTAATTACTTTTGCAGTTCAGCTGAGGCTAATGAGAATTTCAATTTCCTCTGCTTTTACTTATAAACTCTTCTGATTTATTCAAACTGCTTATCCATTTCAGTTGAATGTCTCTGCTGATGTAGACGGGGGACATTCAATTCTGTACCACAAACTGCTTTAGGATTAAGTTTAAGGTACATGGTATTGTCTCTGAAGGGAAATTTATCCTCTGCATTGACCCATCCTTTCCCCTGTCAGGATACGTAGTATCATAGTTTAGGAGCCTGAACTATACAGTAGTAATAATTTCAGAGAGAGATTCAAATCAACTGGAATTATTCCCATACAATTTGAGTTGTTTATGCTACTCTGAGAAGTACAATTCCATTAACGAATAAGTTATAGATGTATTGTAAAAGTGAAAATGTACTTGCCATCTCTATATTGTAATGAATGAAAAATAGAAAAAATATATAACCAGGTCAAAAGTAGTGTTCAATGTGCTTCAATAGGTTGTGATGAAAATAATTAGACCATAGTTGATATGTAGTGACCAAGAAGATGTGTAAGTAATAATGTCTGTGAAAAGGGTAAGCAGAGTCGTACCTTCACGTAGAGCTGCTGGAACTCGTCCAAATTGAGGCGTCCGGTGGGGCAGTCCTTCAGGAAGCCCTTGTACCACTGCTTCAGCTCATGCTCATTAAACTCTGTGTTCTTCACCAGGTCCTCCATCACTTCAGGGGTCAGCTTGCTATTCTGTTTCCCCATTTTGCCTGAAAAGAGAGAAAGACATAGTAAGAACATAAAAGCCCATCCATCCATCCATCCATTTTCTTCCGCTTTATCCGTTGCCGGGTCGCGGGGGCAGCAGTCTAAGCAGAGACGCCCAGACTTCCCTATCCACACACACCTCCTCCAGCTCGTCCGGGGGGACCCCAGGCGTTCCCAGGCCAGCTGAGAGACATAGTCCCTCCAGCGTGTCCTGGGTCTTCCGCGGGGCCTCCTCCCGGTGGGACGTGCCCGGAACACCTCCCCAGGGAGGCGTCCAGGAGGCATCCGGAACAGATGCCCGAGCCACCTCAACTGGTTCCTCTCGACGTGGAGAAGCAGCGGTTCTACTCCGAGCTCCTCCCGTGTGACTGAGCTCCTCACCCTATCTCTAAAGGCGCGTTCAGACCAAAAGCTTCAAAAAGCTTTTGACGCGCTTCAACTGACGCCGGGATAGTTTTGTCATTTTGGTGCTTGAAGCTTTTGACGCGAGTGACGCGCCTGACGCCGGTGGGAGGAGCTTCTCTGTTGTCTGTTGTCAGGACAGCGGTGGATTTTTCAATGAGCAGCGAGCCTTTATTTGTTATATAAAGCAAAATAACGTTGTTGTAGGGCTTCAACAAAACATGTTCTGGGTTCACCACAGACTTGAGAGGCTGCAGTGTTTGCAGAGTTCCGTCATTTACTCCAGGAGCTGCGTACGGAGGAGTTTCGCTTTCAGCGGTACTTCCGCATGTCACTCGCCCAGTCTGAGTTCTCAAACCCCGGAGCTCGCCTCTCCCTGCCTCTCCCTGCCTCTCCCTGCCTCTCCCTGCCTCTCCCTGCCTCTCCCTGCCTCTCCCCGCCTCGCTCTCGCCTCTCCCTGCCTCTCCCCGCCTCGCTCTCGCCTCTCCCTGCCTCTCCCTGCCTCTCCCTGCCTCTCCCTGCCTCTCCCTGCCTCTCCCTGCCTCTCCCCGCCTCGCTCTCGCCTCTCCCTGCCTCTCCCCGGCTCTCGCTCGCCTCTCCCCTGCCTCTCCCCGGCTCTCGCTCGCCCGGAGCTGCCTTGCTCTGAGCCAGACTCATCGTCAGCCTGTTCTTATTTTAAATAAACTACGTTTACTACACAGCATGTATACAATGATTTTTGTTACTCAGAATGTTACTACTCATACAAATAATATTACTAATAACAATAATGACAATAAAACAGCAGCAGCAGATACATGACTTCTCTCCATGACAGAGACAGACCCTCTGCTGCTGCTGCTCCTCGTCTCCTGATTGGTTGAAGCCCGCGTCAAAGCTTCAAAAGCTCAGCTTTGCTCAGCTTCGGCGTCAAAGGGATTGTTGTGATACGCGAGCGGTTCGCGCGTCAAAAGCTTCAAGTGAGCGCGTAGTACGCGCGACTCTTGAAGCTTTTGACGCGCGTCAAGTGACGCCGGGGCTCTCGGCTTCACCTGACGCGCTTCACCATTCACTTTCAATGGAAACCTGACGCTTTTGACGCCGAAGTTAAGTCCGGTGTGAACGCCCCTTAAGGGAGCGCCCAGCCACTCTGCGGAGGAAGCTCATTTCGACCGCTTGTATCCGCGATCTCGTTCTTTCGGTCATTACCCAAAGCTCATGACCATAGGTGAGGGAGGGAACGAAGATTGATCGAGAGCTTTGCCTTTCGGCTCAGCTCCCTCTTCACCACAACGGTCCGATACAGCGACCGCATAACTGCGCACGCTGCACCGATCCGCCTGTCAATCTCACGCTCCATTCTTCCCTCACTCGTGAACAAGACCCCGAGATACTTGAACTCCTCCACTTGAGGAAGGACCTCTCCACCCACCTGCAGAGGGCAAGGCACCTTTTTCCGGTCGAGCACCATGGCCTCGGATTTGGAGGTGCTGATTCTCATCCCAGCCGCTTCACACTCGGCTGCAAACCGTCCCAGTGCATGCTGCAGGTCCTGGTTCGTTGGAGCCAACAGGACAACATCGTCCGCAAACAGCAGAGATGAAATCCTGTGGTCTCCGAACCGGACCCCCTCCGACCCCTGGCTGCGCCTAGATATTCTGTCCATAAATACAGTGAACAGAACCGGTGACAAAGGGCAGCCCTGTCGGAGGCCAACATTCACCGGGAACAGGTCTGACTTACTGCCGGCAATGCGAACACAGCTCTGGCTCTGGTCATACAGGGATCGGATGGCCCTCAGCAGAGGACCTCCGACCCCGTACTCCCGGAGAACCCCCCAAAGGACACCCCGGGGAACACAGTCGAACGCCTTCTCCAAATCCACAAAGCACATGTGGACAGGTTGGGCGAACTCCCATGAACCCTCGAGTATCCGATGGAAAGTATAGAGCTGGTCCAGTGTTCCGCGACCGGGACGAAAACCACACTGCTCCTCCTGGATCCGAGATTCGACCATCGGCCGTAACCTCCTCTCCAGTACCTTGGAGTAGACCTTACCGGGGAGGCTGAGGAGTGTGATCCCACGATAATTGGAACACACCCTCCGGTCCCCCTTCTTGTAGAGAGGGACCACCACCCCGGTCTGCCACTCCATTGGCACTGCCCCCGATCGCCACGCGATGTTGCAGAGACGTGTCAGCCAAGACAGTCCTACAACATCCAGAGACTTTAGATAATCAGGGCGGATCTCATCCACACCCGGAGCCTTGCCACCATGGAGGCTACCAACCACCTTGGTGACCTCAGCCAGGGAGATGGATGTACCCGCCCCAACATCCTCAGCCTCTGTAACAGAGGACGTGACGGGGGGATTGAGGAGAACCTCAAAGTATTCCTTCCACCGCCCGACAATATCCCCAGTCGAGGTCAGCAGCTCTCCACCCGCACCGTACATGGTGTTGGCAAAGAACTGCTTCCCCCTCCTGAGGCGCCGGATGGTTTGCCAGAATCTCTTCGAGCCCGACCGATAGTCATGCTCCATGGACTCTCCGAACTCCTCCCAGTCCCGGGTTTTTGCCTCTGCAACAGCCCGGGCCGCGGCACGCTTGGCCTGCCGGTACTGGACAGCTGCCTCAGGAGTCCCCCGAACCATCATGGCTCAATAGGACTCCTTCTTCAGCACCAGCACCAGAGACCTTGCGACCACAGCTACGAGCCGCCGCATCGGCGATTGAGGCAGAGAACATGGTCCACTCGGACTCCATGTCCCCCTCCTCCGCCGGGACCTGGGAGAAACTCTCCCGGAGGTGTGAGTTGAAAGTCCGTCTGACAGGGGGCTCAGCGAGACGTTCCCAGCAGACCCTCACTATACGCTTGGGTCTGCCAGGTCTAACCGGCTTCTTCCCCTGCCAGCGGATCTAACTCACGACCAGGTGATGATCGGTTGACAGCTCCGCCCCTCTCTTTACCCGAGTGTCCGAGACACGCGGTCGAAGGTCAGATGATACGACAACAAAGTCGATCATCGACCTCCGGCCTAGGGTGTCCTGGTGCCACGTGCACTGGTGGACACCCTTGTGCTCGAACATGGTGTTCGTGATGGACAAACCGTGACTGGCACAGAAGTCCAACAACTGAGCACCGCTCGGGTTCAGATCAGGGGGGCCGTTCTTCCCGATCACCCCTCTCCAAGTGTCACTGGCGTTTCCCACATGGGTGTTGAAGTCCCCCAGGAGAATAACGGAGTCCCCGGGCGGTGCACCGTCCAGTACCCCTCCCAAGTAGAGCCCTGCACTTGAGCCCTTGGCCCGAGGGCCCCGAAGGCCCGACAGCCCGAGGGCCGGGCTTCGGGCCGATGACCGCATAATGACCTCGGACACGGGCCGGGCTCGGGCTCTTCATTTTCAGAGCGGCAGAATACATTTACGAACGCACCCACTGAATATAGCGTTCTATCACGCTGTAGTGTTTGTTGTTCTGTGTAGTGTTGTCATTGACGGCACATAGCGTTACTTACAGGTGTGTTGCAGCATCTGGGCATCATACAGCTGTGTATCATACAGCTGTGTATCATACAGATGCGGCCGTTCACTCTGCACCACTCCGCACACACACACAGAACTCATTGCAACACATCACTACCATGTATAACTCCGCCCTCTAGCTAAGTCTGGGTTCATATCAGTGCGCGGCACTATAAAACATTGTTATGGGAGGTTACAAAAAAAAAAAAAAGGCGGGCTTGATGCGGGTTTCGGGCCTGAAAATTGAGAAACCATATCGGGCCGGGCCGTGCTGGGGCGCCACCCCCTCGGGCCAGGGCCGGGCTCGGGCCCAGATAATAGGCCCGTGCAGGGCTCTACTCCCAAGGACTCCAAGAAGGCCGGGTACTCTACACTGCTGTTAGGCCCGTAGGCCGTCACAACAATGAGAGACTTGTCCCCCACCCGGAGGCGGAGGGACGCGACCCTCTCATTCACCGGGGAGAACTCCAACACGTGGCGGCTGAGATGGGGGGCAATGAGAATGGCCACCCCAGCTCGCCGCCTCTCCCCGCGGGAAACTCCAGAAAAGTGGAGCGTCCAACCCCTCTCAAGGAGTTGGGTTCCAGAGCCCAAGCTGTGTGTGGAGGTGAGGCCGACTATCTCTAGTCGGTATCGCTCAACCTCCCCCACGAGCTCGGGCTCCTTCCCCCCCAGTGAGGTGACGTTCCACGTCCCAAGAGCCAGATGTTGTGTGTGCGGACTGGGTCGCCGAGGTCTCCGCCTTCGACTGCCGCCCAGTCCTCTCAGCACCGCTTCACCACGAACCCCTCTGCAGGTGGTGGGCCCACAGGAGGGACTGCCCACGTCATCCCTTCGGGCTGAGCCCGGCCGGGCCCCGTGGGCTAAGGCCCGGCCACCAGGCGCTCGCTTGCGAGCCCCGACCCCAGGCCTGGCTCCAGGGTGGGGCCCCGGCTGCGCCATGCCGGGCGACGTCACTGTTTTCATGTTAGTGTTGTCCATGGTGTCTTCTGGACTGCTCTTTGTCTGACTCGTCACCTGAGACCTGTCTGCCATGGGAGGCCCTACCAGGGGCATGAAGCCCCAGACAGCATAGCTCCCAGGATCATCCGAGTACT